GGGGGGGGGGGGGGGAGGAATTTGGGTAATATTATCATAAATGCAAAGGATTTGAATCATTGGTTTGATTTATAGGAGATTTTCAAACATGCCCTAAACAAACCAGTCTATATAAGCATTCACTGCCAGGAAACAAAATTAGGTATAAACTTCTTCACTAAAAGCTTCTGATCATCATTTAGCCAAACAAAGATTGTAACTTCCAAACATAATTCCCTAGAAGCTGCCTTCCACACCTACTTCTATGAAAAACAGAAGAAGAAGAAGAAGAACGAACGAGCGAACCTGGAAGAGAGACATGGGTGCATTCAAAGCGAGAATTATCAACCCACCAAACAAGAGCACCAGCAACATGAAATATTTCATCTCTTGCTAAAAACTACAGAGAGAAACAAGGTCAGTTTCATTTCACTGAGAAATGAGAAATTACAACCCGAATAATCTGGTGTATACATCGCCCGAACTGGGCATCTGGTACATTAAATCTCCATACCCAGGATAGATACTGTTCAATCCTAATCTCTCGTTTCTCTGAATTTCTTCCATGCCCACTTCCCTTCTAGGCTGGACCTCATCCAAACCGAGCTGATAGCCATTTGAAGCGTGTCCATAGCCAAATTTCTGCTGTGAAAACTGTGTAAAAGAAGGTGAATTGTAGGAGGTCTGTGGTTGATTCACAAGCCTCGAAGAGATACCATAACTCCCATCCAGAGCAGAGAACCCATCCCCGATGTGACCGGAATATCTCAATTCCTGATGTGCAGATGGAGTCTGCTGCATGTAGATTTGAGAAACTTTTGGGTCTTGATGTTGAGTGGTAGATTGTTGCATCAAAAGCCAGAGTCTTGCCTCATCTTCATATGAACTTGGTTGTGAAGCATAACTTGGCCTCATTTCGAAACCCGTGTAATTCAACCCATTTGTTTGTTTTCCTCGACCAACAACCAATATGGCAGGATCAATTAAATCAACATCACTAATGTTGCTAATATTACCTGTTGACGGTGTTCGATAGTGGTTGTTTGGCAAAGAATGGTTAACCAAATAATTCCCTGAAAACAAAGGAGAAATTAAGAAAAACAAAGCTCAGTCAATTTTAAATCACAAAAAAAAAAGACAAAAAGAATAAGAAAAAAAGAACTGAGCAGGTCAACATCACATAGATGGATGGCAAGAGAGAGAGAGATGCATACCGGATGTAGCACGAAGAACCTCTTCTGTCCTTTCACGTGCAGAAAACCCAGGAGGTGGTTCTCTAGATGGCACTGAAAGGCCTGGTGGAGTCAAACTTTGAGCCCTGGACACTGCCAGAAGAAATGCAATAGAAATTTAAAAAATTGATCCACAAGAATAATAGAAAGGGTTGATATTTCTGAGTAGATGTAGGAGCCATTGCCTTAGGCAATGGTCAAAGACTCAAAGCTCAAGCTGACGACTGCGAGGATGCAGACTCAAATCTGAGGAAACCCACTTTGAGTGACAAAACTAATGCTAATATTCAGTGCCCTCCCAATACAGATGTATCTAAATTGATTTTTGAATTCAAAACTATGAAGGAAAGAAACACTCCCAGTAAAATATTCCCAAAATGAGAGAATAAAGCATTCCTTCCCGCACCCCCATTCAGTCTTAATTCAACACAAAAAGGATACTCAGATATGACCAAGCACCTGATTTCTTGTGACTAAAATATTGAACCTAAGAGATCAAAAGGTCCCACCCCAAGACTCAACATCAATGATTCTGAAGCTAATTATATGATTTATAATTAACCATCTGATGTTCTTCTTGTTGTGTTGACTTGATGAAGACATCCCCACGGGGGAAAAACAGCATCCAAGCTGCGGTAGGAGCATGAGGCTTGAAGAGTATGGGAATCCAGCTGATTTTTGCTATAGGTTAGTGAACCAATTCCCCAACCCCACCAACCCAAAAAAAATCTTTAGAAAATTTTCAAATGATTATCAAGCTTCCAAAATAAACCAACATCTGAAAGCTCAAAACAAAGAAATAAAAAGTGGCACATGGGTATCAAGATAAGAAACTACAGAACGATAACTAGGAGATAAATTTAGGAACAGACTTCCACTGATACGTACCAGGATATTGAGGATTACATACATATTGTTTCTTGTTCTCCCTGGAATCGTTAAGGAGAGAATAATTCTTCGACACTTGACAGTTATTCAAAGAATAGTCGAAATCGGTAATATGACTCCCAAAACCCTCCTGTCTTGACAATGAAAACCCTGATTTGTCGCTGTTTTGGAGATTCCAGGAAGAACCATGCTGGCTGTTGGTTTCATGATATAATGCTGAACTGTGAGGCAAGGTCAAGGAATCGTCACATGCATCAAAATCCAACGACAAGATATTTGAAATTATGCTGCTCTCCACAGCCTCTACAGCAGAATTTCCATCATTATTTGTCCTATTATCATCATCAAGCCTTCTTAAGTGCTCTACTATTTCTTCATTGGAGAATGAATTGGAACCTCTATATACCCTATCTGATTTAGCAGAATTTTGGAATTTCTTCTCATTGTATCCATCACTCAATGATGAATTCCCACCAGTATATAATATAGAAGTTTCATCCACATGATTATGTGCAGAGTTGTGGTCCGCATTAACATCACTCAAACTAAACGACTCTCTATGCTCCCAAGAGTGATTGCCATAATCCTCTGAAATTCCGGCACTATATGATGAAGGAAACAAACAATCCATCTGACTTGAAGAGTTAGAATACTTCGAGCTTTGATTATCAAAAGATATTAAATCTTCTCTCCCAATGCCGCATGGACCATTCAGTACTTGTCTTCCAGAATCTAACATGAAACATGGTTGTTCTTCTGTGACAGATGCATCAGTGGGTGTTAAATCTGCTCTCTCCACTGACAAATAATTCAAAGATTCCCTATATGGTTCTTTAAACTCTTTGTTCCAGGGCAGTCCACTGAGACTGCAGGATGAAGCTTTACATACCAATGCATCAGGGTGTTCAGCCTCCACATGATTATCTTTACCAATATTTGCTGAAGAAAATTCAGAGCACAACTCCAAAATCCTCCTATCATCAGTGCCATTTTCATCTTTTTCTGGAGCATAACTACAAGAACGTCCAACAATATCTACAAAAGTTGTCATTTTGCCAGGTGTTCTGACACCTCCATCCTTATCTTTAGATGAAAGCAAACAAGGGAAGTGGCTGCTAGAAGTTACTGTAGCATGAGCTGCATCCTGGACAACCAAAGGAGATGTATCTGATGAGGTTGTTGCACAATAATACAAAACCCAATAAATTGTGGAAAAAAAAAATTATCTGAACAATCATATAAGTTTGTTCATATTTAAATAAGCATATCAATGTTATCTATTATCTATAATGTGATTCTTAGAATGACCAGTTTGTGGGAAAATGCCTTACTTTAAAGGCACCTCTAACAATAGATTTGTCAGCAGCAGCACTGCAAATGTTGAGGGTTTCATCGATTGGGGGAGGCAAGAAATTTCCCGAACGCCGCTGTGAGTTATGAGTAGCACCAGCAACTTCTTCAACTCTACTCCTACAAACCAAAGTTGAAGATCAGAATAGCCATCAGTAATGAACAGTAAAGGTGAAGAAAAGGGAAGAAAGAATCTTAAGATTACTGGGAAGTGGGGAAAATATCAGTCACATGAACGTGATAAAAAACATACACTTGGCAAATAACGCAGTTTCATGACACCAAACAAATTAACTGCTTATAACAGTTCTAAAGGCTAAAACAATGTTTAAGCATGCATTTGGTGAATAATCTCCCATCGAAACATATAAGAGAAGAGGCGGGCAATAAAAGGAAAGATAATATGGGTTGGAGAGCAATTCCAACTGGAAAACCAGGTTCTAAAGGGTGTCAACTCCACACAATGATTGCTGGGACAAATGTTTAGGAGAATTGTGAAAAATTAGACATGCCTTACTGACAAGGAGTGATATCTCAAATCACTAGTCTTCATTTTGGAGTGCTGTAAAATGTCTCCTCTCAGATCTGCACAGGGTAGGGTTTGTTACCCCTTTCTATAAGCAGAAGGGAGCCAGCTTACATACATAACTACATATCAAATTTCATGATGGATCACAAAAAACCTTCAATATGATTCTTCACAAAAAAATTGGACCACCTTATATGCAGTCCCTTAATAGAATGTTGTGTCTCATTAAAGGAGCATAATAAACCATCACAATGTTTCGCTTCATGCATATGTCCACAAATTTGCCTACAAAGTACTGAAGTTTGCAGGCAAGTGCTTGTGTGCTGAGAAAAAGCATTCGGGTGATCAAATGTGTATTCAGCTACCAAGAGTAGCGGCAAACCTACGGTTTGCAGGAGAATGCATTAAGTCAGCAACAAGTCCACCTCAGCCTAATGCTATGTGAATTCATTCTAGAAGCAGTTATCGGGATTATTGCAGCCTTTTCACTAAACTAAACACTTCCACTAAATTTTGATTCACATCCTGCTGTGTTTCAGATGGATAAATTGCAACATGTACATTTATAGGATGAGAGAGAAACCATTGTGTACGTGATACCTTGTATGCACAGCCGCAACTTCATCCTTACCAAAACTATCTTCTTCGGCACCAACGCTATGTAAATATAAACAAGCAGGGTTGTTGCAAGGCTGAACCAACAAAAGCACCATCATCAGTAGAAATTTCCCACCCTTTTGGTTTTTTGAATAAAGAAATTCCCTCAGGAACTTCAAAAAAAGAAACAACCAATGCACCCATCACAAAGTACTAGTGCCTTATATTTATACCGTGTTTTTCAACCATGCATGGCAATACTTTGCAGTTCCAAAAGATGCTCTGCATAAGCAAATCGCGAATGATTATCGATATTATACTCATAGAAAATAAAGGTCATCGAGATGGAAACCAAAAGATGACATGGTAATGAAATTTTAAGCAGAAAACAGCGTCTGTGCTTACCTTAATAACCTACCTTCCAGCACAAAACCATGTACTGATTGAATACACCTAAGGGCCTCCTCCTCTTTGGAGTAAGTAATATATCTGGTGGGGGAAAATTCACAAGGAATAACAACAATCACTAACAAAAAGATCCAAACAATATTGTATCAAATAGATGCATAAACTAGCCCGGATTCAAATCTAACACAAGTTTTTATTAGTGAAATTCCCATCTACGGAGTAATTCAAACACAGCAATGTACTTATACCATCATACTTGCTAGAATCTCGACTGAAAGCGTATAACGCCTATCACTCTATTTAGAGGTCCAACTTATGGAAATTTTCGTCCTCTACAAAACATATTGGATCCAGGTGCATCAACACAGACCTCAGAATTATTATTCTAACAGAAGTCCTGATTATTTCCTTTTTTTATTAATTAGAAACAGATACAGACCCAAATCTATGTTGTGATACACAGATAAAAAATTTTAAAGTAACATTAACAAAGGTTGCAACAAATTTTTCCAAACATATAGGAGTTGTCCATAGGGGCATCTCCATTCAAGAAAATAAAATAGTCTTTTTCCTTTCTATTTTTTCCCTTTTGAAGGGGGAGGGCACTCATCAGATCCAAAATCCTTTTCCTTTTCCCAGTTTGAAGGTGAAAATGGTCCGCACCAACTCAGCTCAAATCAATTGTAACATGATAATAAGAAGTGCAAATATGGCATCTAATAAGAGCTCCAACTCTGGCCATACCATTATCCATGGCCCAGACATGAGGGGGGATGGCCGTTTCTCATATCCATAAACCTTTCCAACCTAGAAGCAGGACAGGTTCAGTCCCAGGTATCTGGTATGTACACAAAGACTTACCAGCTAGCTAGCTGTTACACTCCACGAAAGTCAGATATTTTCCAACCCCAACAGTTAACAGGGTCAGTGGCTGACTGTTGGATCAAACAATAATATAGCTGAATAGACATATACAAAAAATGGATATGTATACTGTTCGTTGTCCAAAGATAAGTCAATACTCCTGAACAGGAAGTGTGGCAAAGGACTATTCAGGATAGGAGGTTAGCACTTTAGGTACAGCAGGGACAACATTACCAAGGAAAAATACTTAGGAGACCAATTGATAACAAGCTCCTAGGTGAAAGTGGGTAAGAGAAGTGGTTGGTCCAAGTGTCTCACACAAAGGAGCTTGAATACCATCCAGCTCAGGTAGGTTATATGGGTTATATCCTCTACTTTGGTTTTACTGATTAACTTTAAAAAAAAAAGCTAGATTCGAGGCTGGCTGGTCTGCCCTGATTTGATTAAATTTGATATTACCAGCAAAACATAGTGCTTCCGCTCGTTAGACCTTCCAATTATACGATATAAAAAACAAGCACGTAAGAGTTGTATCAAAATAAAAAACCACAAGTTTAAAAGATAGCAAAATGCATCATCAATAAATTGCATGTCAACATATGCAGAGTCAATCCATGACCTCAATGTGCACCTGAGAGCAATAACCAAGAAATGATTATCTTAATTATCACATAAGGTCATCAAATGGTTTCAAGACCCAAAAAAAAAATGCAAGACAATCTTGCCTACAAAGGGAGGGAAGTTTAGCATTTATAACCATAAAATAGATAAAAGACGAGTAGATGCAAGGGAAGTTAGCAAGGAAACCCATCACCAAGATTTAGAGTTTTAAGCACCTATTCATATATTCTAATATCTCAATGAGCAAGGAGTGGAAACATATATACCAAACCTCATCAAAAACAAGGATTTTGCAATAAACACATTGTTTTTGAACGGTTTAGATGTGTGTTTAGAAAGTCCAATATATATTAATATTCACAATATGAAAGGTCATCAATGCACGGACCCAACAAATATTGAATTTGTTCCTGACGTAGATTATAAATATTAGAGCTTATACAAACTAGGATCTAGCAGTATTTAATCACAAGTCTAATATAAGAAAATTATATCCAAGTTGTGCAAAGTCCTGTGTGGCCAATTTGGTATGCGGTACCAATCCATGGTAGAGATTTGCGAAGGCAATATACTTAGTACCCAATTTTCAGTCATGGTCCGCTTTGCAAATCATATCCGGATCATTTCACCATTATAAACTACATATAATTATACATCCATATATACATACTTAATGTTTATTCTCTATTTTTTATAAAAGTTCTAAATGAACTAAATAATAAAAGTAGTTGGCTGCATATGTGTATTATGAAAATAATTCAAATCACAAAAAAACAAAAATATATAATGTCGGTAATTTGAAGTTAAAAGTTACAATTTGGGTCGGGAATTTGGAAGACATGGGCCGTGAACCCACCCTGAAACAGGGTCGTGTGAGATGCCTACGATTCTGGTATCTACATTCCGTGTTGGAATATCATGAAATAAATTCACTAGAGGCCACATGACTCAAGGTCCCAGCAAGAACATCAATTCTAGTTTCTAACAATCAAAAGGGGATATGAGGAAAAATAATCAAAGACTAAACATGTGCACCTCATTTCATAGTTCCACCATGTATTTACTCGTCTTTTTTGAGGTTCTCATGATTTATAACGTATCAAGAAGAATTCGTTATGACAAGACGCAACATTGATATCAAATTGAACAAGGGAACCTAATTTTGTAAACAATATCTCATTATGGTAAACTTCTTAAAACTGGAGAGAATTTGCAGCATGAACTGAATTTTTGGATGCTATACATTCAAAATAAAAGGAAATTATCAAACACAAAAAATAATTGAGAAAAGTAGAGAGGAAGGGCTACTCTCCTCGTTCAACTCATGCCATTGACGAAAAGAGAGGGAAAAAAACCATAACTACTCTCATAACTGTTGTTCATGTATGAAAACTGCTATACTTACACACTGCAGGTCTCATTAACAAATTGCTGAATAGCCCCACCCGCTGTCCGAGATAGAGAAACCTTAGAAACCTTTCCATACTGACCAAAATATTCCTTCAACTGCAAGAGCTGCAAAAAATCAAAAGAATATGCTCGAGGCAGAAGGAAAGGAAACAAAATCCATGTTGAATACTTTGTTTGTTCACTAGACACCAAGTAAAGAAGACTAAACAAACTTCAACAGAGGAAGTCTCACATCTTCATCAGCCAGACTAAGAGGCAGCCCAATTACGTATGCCATTTTCCGCTGAATTACTCTAACATTGGTAAGGTCCTTCCTTACTTCATTTGCCTTTGGCTTTGCCTTCAGTGGTTTGTTTTTCCGATTCGAATTGTTGGCGGCCACCCTATTCAAAAGAAGTGCAAGCGCTAAAACCTTCTATCTACAGCATGCTGAAAAAATAAATTGGCCGCGAAAGAATATCAACCTTTCAATGTTTGCTTCCATGACTGCAATTTTTTCCTTGTCATAAGGTGTCCGACATGCAGGACATCGTCCCTCTGTCCCATCTTTCTCTGCCATGTCCATTATATGATGCCAACACCAAACACACACCTGCCATTATTAAAATAACCAAAAATGAAAAAAAAAATAATAGATGTAATTCAAAAAATGTGACAAAGCTACCACGTTCACACGGCTCAAAAAACTAGAAATACAAAATTAAATCATTGATATGACAAACAGACCACGGACCTTCCCAAACCCAGGCGTAACAAACATCAATAATGCCGAATTGCTCTTTAAGTTTCAAGTGTTAGTTTAGAATTTAGTGTAACATCAGGCCAAAATCTGAGGTCCAGAAGGGAAATCTAGACCCTTAGCGTCATTAGGAACCAATGTTAATTGAACAAAGACTATCACTCATTAAAGATACACACATAAACATGACTGCCCTTCTCCATTCTTCCAGGTTCATTCATAGATACTAATGAATCAAAAATGTCTAATTGAAGGTCTGATCAAACTTTAGGTATTAATGCATGTCAAGGTTAATTACTTTAAAATTACAAGTAGCCATCAATGTGAGTCGGTGTTAGCCATAGAAAACCAAAAGAATGCTCTTTTTTAAGGTGTATCACAAAGGAGCAATAGAGTCATGAAGCATCTGGACAGCAAACTTCCCCATTTTCGTTATTTTATTCAGTTCAGACTAATCATTTTGTAACAGTCATGCATAATTATGTTTCTAATTTACAGTGTGCAAACTTCTTTGGGTTATTAATGAAATCAAGCCTGCAGATATTACTTACTATGGATCAAATTTGGCTAGATAAACTCAGCCAAATATAATCTAAGCAGGCCGGCTCCAAGCCCAACTCGTATGGGATTGGGTCATTGGGTCAACCAATGACTAACCAAAGACTAGTNTTGCCTTTGGCTTTGCCTTCAGTGGTTTGTTTTTCCGATTCGAATTGTTGGCGGCCACCCTATTCAAAAGAAGTGCAAGCGCTAAAACCTTCTATCTACAGCATGCTGAAAAAATAAATTGGCCGCGAAAGAATATCAACCTTTCAATGTTTGCTTCCATGACTGCAATTTTTTCCTTGTCATAAGGTGTCCGACATGCAGGACATCGTCCCTCTGTCCCATCTTTCTCTGCCATGTCCATTATATGATGCCAACACCAAACACACACCTGCCATTATTAAAATAACCAAAAATGAAAAAAAAAATAATAGATGTAATTCAAAAAATGTGACAAAGCTACCACGTTCACACGGCTCAAAAAACTAGAAATACAAAATTAAATCATTGATATGACAAACAGACCACGGACCTTCCCAAACCCAGGCGTAACAAACATCAATAATGCCGAATTGCTCTTTAAGTTTCAAGTGTTAGTTTAGAATTTAGTGTAACATCAGGCCAAAATCTGAGGTCCAGAAGGGAAATCTAGACCCTTAGCGTCATTAGGAACCAATGTTAATTGAACAAAGACTATCACTCATTAAAGATACACACATAAACATGACTGCCCTTCTCCATTCTTCCAGGTTCATTCATAGATACTAATGAATCAAAAATGTCTAATTGAAGGTCTGATCAAACTTTAGGTATTAATGCATGTCAAGGTTAATTACTTTAAAATTACAAGTAGCCATCAATGTGAGTCGGTGTTAGCCATAGAAAACCAAAAGAATGCTCTTTTTTAAGGTGTATCACAAAGGAGCAATAGAGTCATGAAGCATCTGGACAGCAAACTTCCCCATTTTCGTTATTTTATTCAGTTCAGACTAATCATTTTGTAACAGTCATGCATAATTATGTTTCTAATTTACAGTGTGCAAACTTCTTTGGGTTATTAATGAAATCAAGCCTGCAGATATTACTTACTATGGATCAAATTTGGCTAGATAAACTCAGCCAAATATAATCTAAGCAGGCCGGCTCCAAGCCCAACTCGTATGGGATTGGGTCATTGGGTCAACCAATGACTAACCAAAGACTAGTCTAAGTTGTTTAACGAACAAATAAGGGCATATTAAATCAGGAAAAAAAAAAAAAAGGTAACAAGTTTCAGTCAGCTTGCTGGTAAAGTTTCTAGCTGGTTGTGCAAATATAGATCCACTATAATCTTCAGTTCGGCTACATTGCTAAGGGTGACTGCCCTTTGGGTAGCCAGATGCCTTCAAAGAAAGTGAATCAGAGTAACGTTGAAAAAAAAGCACATCAAGTCAACATTGAGATGTCACAAGTCGATCAACTTAGCATCTTCCGAACATTCAATGACCAAAGAACCCCAGTTAATCATAATAACATATTGCGAACACTTCTATTGAAGCTATATTCAATTTCTCACCATCACAACTGCAGTCAGACCTAAGTCTCTGCAAATCCCACCACACATATCTCCCTCCACCCTCCTCGTAGAAAGTTTTCTTTCCAAAATTCTTCCTCATAAAACAACACCAATGAGATTTAATCACCTTATTAGGACACTATCCAACAGAATAATTCTACTTTGTTGCTAGTGACATCCCAAAGACCTTTCTTTTCCTCTGCACTACTAGGCAATCCAAACATTGAGTTTGTTCTACCAAATCAGAACTCCAAGTGTAAAAGCTGCTGCAAGCTGTCTACACTTTAGGCTACAAACCATGCATTATGAACTAAACTCATGCCTAATAAAAACACAGATGAAAAGGGCGTTAAGTCCTTTAAAAGCCAATTTAAAGAACATGCATGTATGCACTTCGTTTTTCAGTGACATATTATAATCTCAAGCCCTACATCAGTAAAAACTAGGTCCTCAGCAAAACAGTACATGGTCAAGTCCTACATTGGTAAATTAAAAACGTATGATAAGCTGTTCAATCCAGGCCCATCCAGCATTTGCTTCATGTAACATTTTTTACTCAAGACAAAGTATTGACACCAACACCGAATGCAGGCCGACCTTAATCTAGGAAACTGCATTTTGGCCAACATTTGGAAACGCTAAGCAAAACACCATCCTAAACTTCACTAATTAAACATGTACATATGCCATTACTATGTAGTTTCCACTACATTGTACTTCCTTCCTAATTAATAAAATTTTTCATTTCCTATCCAAAAAAAAAACAACAAACTTGTACAGATGCGATGTCCCTGTTCATTCCATCTTTTCTACCAGGCAACCGCAACAATTTTCACAGAACACCATTACTACTGCATTCACTCCCATTCGCAGAAAAGCGATTTGTGCTAGGATATAACAATTTAAAATGTCGTGTTGGACAGCATTCTCTTCTTTTTACGCACCCAATGATAATAACTTATCAATTTTGTTATATTCCTATCCTTTGAATGTCAAATAACATTTCCAATGTAAAATCACTATACATGAGCGATTGAATAAAATCAAGCACAAAAATAGACAATCCTAATACCAACTAAATTGACTTGAAAATGAAGAATATTTATGATGCCCAATATCCAGAGAGGCCTATGAAATTAGATTGGGAATTCGAACCTGATAACCACAATCGCATGGCTTGAATTGCTGATCCGTCGTGTCCATCTCTTCCGCACAAAGTGGACACCTCTTCTCTTCTTCGTTGCTCATGATTACCCTGTCACATCCAAAAATTAAAAATAAATAAAATAGATAATTTTAACAATTTTTCTGCGTTTATGCCTATGCATGCAACACACAAATTGTAAATAAATAATATAAACCCTAATATCTACAAATGTCATTCAAAAAATCATTTTCTTCCCAGATCAAAGCCAAGAATCCGTATTATTAGCTTTAGCACATAAATCACAGAACGAAGATGTAACGAAAAGTCATTTCAAACAAATCAAAAATGTGAGGACAAAATGAAGCGATAGAATCCGATTGACATCTATAGTAATATACACATATACACGAACGTATACATACATGTTTTCGTATATAAAGAGAGATCACATTGAAGGGAAAATGTTGATGAAAATTAATGAAATTACATACCTAGGGTTTGGAATTGGAAGCTTAAGGACTTACAGTTATTTGATTAAAGAAAGGCAGAGAGAGAGAGAGAGAGAACCAACTCAGGAGTACGGCACAAAGGATTGAAAACCACAGGATTGAGACGGCTTTTATGGATTGCATTTTATTGTTGGTTTGTCAGTACAGTAAATATCACATATACCCTTGAATTTTAGTATTAATTTTAATTTGACCCCTTAACTTCCAATTTTTTGGGTTTAATTTTTTTTTTTTTTGAAACAAACGATTTAATGTTTAAATTGTATAATTTGTGACAATCTGTCTCTTCTGTCCAGTGAAAATCAGAAAAATTAAAGTTTTGCAAACAAATTGAAACAAGTGTCGAGGATGTTCTCGATTAGACATGATAGGGATCTAATTTACTGACCTAATTGGTAACATTGTTTATTGTGGCTAATAAATTTGTTCTGAGCGAGTATTAAATATTCATCCGAAAAAAATAATTTGGTGGTTGATGGTCCACAATAGTTGATTTGAGTGTTAATGAATGAATCCATCCATAGATTATGTTTTATATGTTCATTCCCTCTGTCCTAAGAATGGTATATTCATTGAGGAGTTATTTATAAAAGTCATTCCTAAATTTCTGGTCTATAAAGCAGGATTATGCAATAAAGTGCACATTTCTATTCATTGACTATGTGAGAAAATAATGGTGGCCTTACATTAAAACTTAAGTATCCCTTGTGAACTATTACAAGTTCCATGTCTAATCTTGGGGCTTGCTAAAGTTATCCAATTCCAATTTTTTGATTCATGAATTGAATATTGTTTAACAACATTTTATAGTTTCAATAACTAAAAATCGCATTTAAGTTAGTTTTTTCTTAGGTTTTTTTTACGTACAACAATGATTCTAGTTTATTATTGCATGACAGGGACCCATTTTTATATAAGTGGATCATCCTACTAATGTATGTGGTTGATTTATCATTGACAAAACATAAGAAAACTATACTCAAGAAAATAGAAACTCATGAGAAATAAATATATATATATATCTCTTGGCAGTTGGGCAGGTTCAAACCCAAGGATTAGATCTTGTAGGGTTTGGTTCCCCCCCCCCCCCACACACACACACAAACAAAAACCTCTTAGGACACTTGAATCCCTAATCTCATTTTGTCAAAAAGTGGGAGGTTTTGTCACACATTCCTTAATAGGGCATCGTTGTTTAGATGCCTTAATGGGTCATCTTGTCAAGAGGAGGAAATGATTTTGATGGTAGCGGTTTTTAAATTTTTCGAATTAAAATGCTAATAGAAGTTGAAATTGAGATTTTTTGGACTTCGTCACCTTGACTAGATGTTGTAAAGAAGGGTCTTGGCATTGCAGATAGGATTGGTGGTGATATTAATTTTTTATTTTTAAATGATTTATTGAGTATTTCATGTCAAAGAAATAGGGAGAGAGAACAGAGATATATGAGGTGGTGTCGTGGTGGCCGGTGGAAGAAAGATGGTGTTAGGAAGAGAGAATGATTATTCTCTAGTTACAATAATTACAAAAGGTTAATTATTCTCTCTTCCAAACTTTACAGATTTAATTGAGAAAAAATAACTAAAATAGCCAAAATACTCCTAATTAACCATCATCTGTGTAGCTCGATGTATTTTCCATCTACAATTTGGACAGTGTTAAAAAATGGAAGATAAATAAAAGAAATAATAAATAATGAAGAATAAAAGTGGCCACATATTGGTTATCACAAATCAAGGGTATTTACTATTACGAACCTTGATATTTTATTAAATAGAAAATTGATTTATAGATTGTGTTAGTATTCAGTGCTACATTTGATTAAGATCTTATCGATAATTGGGCATGGAGAAAAAGATTGAGAGCGCTCTATGTACATTGAGCAATAACCAAAAAACTCGAGGGGTATAGTGTAATTAAAGGACTGCACACACCCCACACGCCAAATTCATTTAGAGTCTTTCGTTTTTGCTTTTCTGCGTCCTTTCCTAGATAAAGATATACCAACAAACCACACCGCGGGTTGGTTCGTCAAAATTGATTTGGTCCGATAGGGATTCCGGGTTTTGCTACGTTCAAGGTAGGCTTGTGCTTGACCCGAACTTATATATCGAACTTAAAATATTGTTCATGCTATTTTTTTTTTTTTTAAAAAGGGTGGGGACAAGGAAGAGTATCTAACAGTCACCCCGATAGACTCTCACCGGTGGACTTATAAGGCTCTTGACCGCGCCTAGAACACCCTTTGAAACCAGATCTAGCTAGACTAACATAATAATCAACCATTAAGTCTCAATGGGGACTCCAAGATAAGGAATAATACCCACTAGACCACCCTACTTGGTGGTAAATATTTTTCATGCTTTGTTCAAATTAAATTCGAGCCGAACTCAAGTTAAAAAAAAATAAAGCCATTTAAAAAATCAAATCCATAAATTTTAAATATCCAATCAAAAACTTTCACAAAAATGCACACAAATATAATTTTTTAAACAAATCTAAGTATAAAATACCTCTAAATCACAATAAAAATATACAAACTTAAATTTAAATTGTTTGATAATTTTACTAAAATAACCTTAAGATCTATAATAACTTATTGGAAATATTACTAATAAGTATTACTTTCTTATGCAAACATCCATTAAATCCTATCATTTTTATTTTATATCAATAAAGTCATACTCGATAATTTATTTGAATAAAGTCTTGAATTCTATAAAATACTATATTTTGTTTCAATTCTTTCATTCGCTTGACAAATATTGACACCGAAGGTATTGGGCCCATAACATTAATATTTTTCTATTTATTTAAATTATGTATTGCTTATTTGCTAATTTTATAAAAACTCAACATTATTTCTAGAAAAAAATAAGTAAATTAACTCATATCAAAAAAATAAGTAAATTAACTCATAAGTTTAAACCCAGTCTGCGAGTTTTTCCTCTCTTTCTCTTTGTTTTAATTTTTTTTTTCCAGGACTGATTGCATTCTGTTGGTTCTTTTTCAAAGTATAATGAGGAACTGTATACTAAGTTGGGATCAAACTAAACTGCCAGAAAGTGTCAATCCTATGCAATATGCCACACCTCACGGTCACAGGCACTTTAATTGATAGCTCTGATACCAACTTGTAATGCCCTGGATCCCCCGAGCACGTCACTGGGGTGTTACACAATATGTGTACAAAGTACTGGATTGGATGATTTTGAGCTGTTTGAGGAAATGTAAGTATGATGGTCTGGTCACAGAGGTATCAGGCTAGTTTTGAAGTCCTAGCTTTTTGTATGGACCTCTGCATTCAATGTGCAACTTACCAATCCGAAAGTAGAGGTGGTATGTGTTACCCTGTTACCCAAAGGAAGTTTTTGGAGACCCTCCAGGGGCGGGAGGGGCTAACCTCAAATAAAGCATAGTACAGTGGAGTTGTGAGATTAGGTTTGTGGTTTGAGAAGTGGGAAGTTACACTTCTTTGATGATTAATGTTTTTTTCAATGAAACAAGAAATAAACAAAACCTTCATATCTTTTAAAGCTGCAAATGAATTGAAGGATGAATGTACTAGCTATCTTACCCATCTGTTGATGCTGCTATGAGAGGAATAGGAACCCAATTTTGATCAGCATTTGGTACAACTTATAGATCTTTGGTACATTGGCCTCTCATGCAGGCCATACTCGTGGAGGGGAAAAGGATGGAGATGGTGAAATAAGGTAGCGAGGGTGATGCTAGCTGGTTGGTTTTAGTTGGAGAAATGTTGGGGATTATCACTGTGGACATGATGCAGTGATAGGGGTTGCGATGCTCCCAGACCTTGATGGTGGTATAGTTGGAGTATGGATCACAAAGAGATACCAGACCTGAAAGCAAGAAAGAGATTGGACACAAAGGTAGAGAGAGTGAGAGAGATTGAGTAAGAGGAAGGAGGAAGACTTGGAGGTTGTTATTGCAGCAGAGGGATAGAAGTGCAGAGGGAGGATAGAGGGAGACACAGAAAGTGGACATACAGGATTAGAAGTTGGGAGAATAGAACAGGGGGGTGCTTTTTTCACTGCTAAGGGAGATGGATGGCAAAACCTCATCAGATGACTGGTCAAGTGATGGAGAAACCTGTGTTTCGATTTTCTACCAAAAACTTTTGTGGCCAAAGTTTGAAATGCTGCTGGGAGAAATAAAAAAAAAACAAAAACAAAAAATCAAGCATGTTTTTGTTTCTTGTTTTCACAAATTTTCTTTTAAACAGAAAGAAAACAGTAAAAAATGATCCCTTAGTTATTTGAAAGAGTGAGCCTCTCTGTGTAGCATATATGATGTTTGATTGGTAAACCACATGACAACTAACATCAAATAGATAAGGTGTTTATTTCATGGAAGATTTATCATATATATGGTGGTTTTGTTAGTCAAAGGACCTGTACATTTACAGTTCCCACTTCAGAGGGCTGATCCATTAGTATTTGATGTCGTGTTTGGCTAAATAGATGTTGCTTTGGAGTTGTGTAGTGGAACTCAATTTGTAAGAGATGAAGAGGAGATTCTCCTATGGTTCCCTTTTCAATGTTTCCTTGCAGCTCTCGCAGTGGGACAGCTGCAAGGAACTCCTTGATAAATTCTTTGCAGGACGACTTGCCTTGACAGATCAATTCCCGGGAACTTCTGCTATTTTGTTTTTCTCCTTTCCTGCTTGGGTGATTAACTGAACTTTCTTCTGACTCCACCTTTGGATTGCTCGACTCACTTTGCACTCTATAGACCTTGCTTTCTCTGTTGAACTTTAACATGTAGGCTTTATTGCACCCCTCGCACAGCCTTTCTCCTAGGGTGTCAATCATATAAATTGCATCCTCTTCTATTTTGAGAACAAAAAAGTGATCATTCCAACTCACAATGTAGATTTGTTCTTCTGGTGTTGATTGACCACTTTGGAGCTCCTGCCATATGTTGTCAAAAGACATGGCACCTTGCAGGAACTGCAACTGATTAGTCATATTTTCAAGTTCAAAGAAGCCTACATAGGACTTCTCAGGAACCACTGTCAATGGTCGAACTTGTGCTTGTATGACAGTATCAAGATCAAAGTGTTGATCCAAGAATTTCTCCTGATGAGTCTCTTCTTTGCACAAGTTTCTCCATTCCATAGATCCTTCACGGATCAATTTATTAAATTGGCATCGTAGTGGTAGGATTTCTGGATTCTGATGCAACCAATCAGCAATAACTGCAGCAAGAACTGTGCAGGCGCCTTCACCCGATGCTTTCTCACTCCGTTGATCAATGGAAGCTAGAAATATCTCTGTGACTAGCTCTAATTTTCTGTCTCTGCTGATCAACTTCCTCTTTTCCCAACTGCCTATCTCAAACCGATCACTGAACACAAATCCCCAAGGCTCAAACTCATTCTTGACCAGATCCTGCCTTGGCTGGTTGGGTGATAAGTGGAAGCGACGGTCAATATCAACATCATCCCCTCCCTCATCACCATATGCTTTGTTCAAGAGTGGTGTGTCTCTTGGATGCTCAAAGTTTTTCAAACTAGGCCTTCTTTTATTCCATGAAAGGAGCCTGATTAGTGAAGGTTTCTGAGTGGACTTCCCATTCAACGATTGTTCTTCCTCCCACATCTCATCCATGCCATATTCAAGCTTGTCATCTCCAGCACCACTGATTGATAGATTTGTTGCAGCTATGCTTCTGTAGATTGGATCAGGGTCCTCATCTGATTCTGAAAAGGAGCTATACATGTCTTGACTTTCTTGCTTCTGAATTCTCATGCACAACGATAGAGATGGCAGTAGCTTGGTTGGAGAAAGAGGGTGCACCATGTTGCTGATGATGTGTTTGGGTTTGATTTCAAGGAAATTGAGGTTCACCTGCAATTAAGTCATTGCAAAATTAGCTCTAGTTATTGTGTGCCTAGCAATTCTGAAAAAAGCAAATCTTACCGTTAGTTTGGCCTCAATGTTGGAGCTACCAATGCTGAATTTGACTGGAAGCTTGATAATTTTATCTGAACATTCAGTTGGATCAGCATATTCTGCTATATTAACACTTAGTTTTGCTAAAACCGACGCTGTGCCATTTATTTCCTCACCTAATCCCTGTTACTCAATCGGTTTTTGAAATTAGTCTTAGTCACCATGATTTATGATAATGAGATGCTAATCAATTTTTTTTTCTACTTACATGAACCTCCAGGCTGATGATCCAGCTTCTGAAACGATCCGAGTCCAGTTTCAACTTGCCAAAATGATCAAATCCTTCATTCCAAATGACACATCCATCTGTGTTTATGATCTGTTTCGACGTGTGATTCCTTGCAACAGCTCTTCTGGAGATCAGATAATTCTTTCTTAAACCTATCCACTCTATCTGCACTTTGATTTTGCACATTTCCTTATTTGGTATCTCCGCCATGGATGAACCTGTGAGTTCACATATGATGAGATGTAGCTTAATCCTCCTTGTTTCTGATCTAGCACCACAACTATTCCACCTTCTCATCTTGGATTCAAGTTCTGCCGTGTGTCTGTTCTTACTTTTACTATTACCTCTGTATGTTGACATTTGATATAGGAACAAAGAGCAGTTCTTAAGTCAACTTCTGCATATGTAAGCAAATTTGAGCATCATTTCTTTTATAATGGAGTGGTTACATACATGGTGCCTCATCTTTTTGACTAATTCAGAGCCTAAACTAATTATTCTAGTAAATTTCCACAGAAATCTTTTTTCGTTTGACCTATAGTTTATTTTAGGTATTTCAATTATGGCGCGTGAAACAGCTTCGTGTCCGATTTTAACGAGTTCGTGTCCGTGTCGAAAAACACTCCACTCATACCCGAGCCGTTTATTAATTCGTGTCTAACGAATCGTATCGTATTAGGTGCATGTCGTATATAAATCGTATATAACTGGTATATAAACGAGTCATATAGTGTATTTTTTTTGATTAATTTCATTCATACCCCGATTCGATTATTGATCATGTCGTGTCAAATTCACTCGTTTATAAAACGGATAACTTAAAGAAGACTCAAAACTCTCAAATTTCATGTCATATTTATATCGTGTTAGTTGTTCGTATCATATTTTGATACTCATAATTATTTGCAGAGACTCAAGGGCCGAGACACTACTCTTTTTGTGTAATTACTCTTTTTCTTGGACAGTGATGAGTAAACAATTTTTTTTACCAAGATAAGGGCATATTGCATACCTAGTGCATGAGTATCTGTTATGGCAGGGTCCAAAATAGGGGCGACTTAAGTTAATTTGATGCAACTGTTGAAATATCTTTTTTTTTTTTTGATACTTAAAAAAATGGTGGGGGCAAGGAAGAGTGTCCAGCGACCACCCGATAGGATCTCACCACCGGTGGGATCATAAGGTTTCTGACCGCACCTGGAACACCTCTTAGGATTAGACCTAACTAGGCTAGCATAGCGTCCAACCACTAAACCCTAATGAGAATTCCAAAGCTCGAACTCCTAACTTCAAAATGAGGAGTAAGGCCGGTACCCTACTCGGCGGTGCAACCGTTGAAATATCGCCTGTTGTGGTTCAAGTCAAAAAAATGAGGACTTATACTGTGCTAGGGCATTGCTTTGTGGAAATGAAGTTGGTGGTGCTGCTGCTTTTGATAATGTTTGTACACTGCGGTCAAGCTAGGAAGCATGAATTCTGGGGTGCCGTGTCAAAGGATTTGGCAATTTCTTTTGTGTGGTAGGATACATGGTCGGAACCAGACATTTTCTTCGATGAGTCATATTAATATTAAAATTATAAATATTTACAAAAATATAATTTCATTAATAGAATATCAATTAAAGGCGCAACTCATATACATGAATAATATACAAAAGGAGCCAACAAAAAAAAAAAAAANGAAACAGCTTCGTGTCCGATTTTAACGAGTTCGTGTCCGTGTCGAAAAACACTCCACTCATACCCGAGCCGTTTATTAATTCGTGTCTAACGAATCGTATCGTATTAGGTGCATGTCGTATATAAATCGTATATAACTGGTATATAAACGAGTCATATAGTGTATTTTTTTTGATTAATTTCATTCATACCCCGATTCGATTATTGATCATGTCGTGTCAAATTCACTCGTTTATAAAACGGATAACTTAAAGAAGACTCAAAACTCTCAAATTTCATGTCATATTTATATCGTGTTAGTTGTTCGTATCATATTTTGATACTCATAATTATTTGCAGAGACTCAAGGGCCGAGACACTACTCTTTTTGTGTAATTACTCTTTTTCTTGGACAGTGATGAGTAAACAATTTTTTTTACCAAGATAAGGGCATATTGCATACCTAGTGCATGAGTATCTGTTATGGCAGGGTCCAAAATAGGGGCGACTTAAGTTAATTTGATGCAACTGTTGAAATATCTTTTTTTTTTTTTGATACTTAAAAAAATGGTGGGGGCAAGGAAGAGTGTCCAGCGACCACCCGATAGGATCTCACCACCGGTGGGATCATAAGGTTTCTGACCGCACCTGGAACACCTCTTAGGATTAGACCTAACTAGGCTAGCATAGCGTCCAACCACTAAACCCTAATGAGAATTCCAAAGCTCGAACTCCTAACTTCAAAATGAGGAGTAAGGCCGGTACCCTACTCGGCGGTGCAACCGTTGAAATATCGCCTGTTGTGGTTCAAGTCAAAAAAATGAGGACTTATACTGTGCTAGGGCATTGCTTTGTGGAAATGAAGTTGGTGGTGCTGCTGCTTTTGATAATGTTTGTACACTGCGGTCAAGCTAGGAAGCATGAATTCTGGGGTGCCGTGTCAAAGGATTTGGCAATTTCTTTTGTGTGGTAGGATACATGGTCGGAACCAGACATTTTCTTCGATGAGTCATATTAATATTAAAATTATAAATATTTACAAAAATATAATTTCATTAATAGAATATCAATTAAAGGCGCAACTCATATACATGAATAATATACAAAAGGAGCCAACAAAAAAAAAAAAAACTCACTATAAATTTATGTATAAGGCTGAACAAAAAAAATTTGAACCGAAAAATTAGAATCAATCATATATTGAATTTTAAGAAATATTTTTATAACTAATTCAAAAATTAATTTGCTCATTCCCAAACTTAGTATACATCATTGAATTTTAACAAATAATCGAAACTAACTTAAATTATGATTATTCTATTAAACTAAACCTAGGTATAGTAACTGGTTAATTTATCAAAATAAAATCATTCAAATTATCAAATCAAAACAATTTAGTCTAACTATAATGGAGGACTACAAGCATTGTGTTATACATTTGTTAAAATAACATAACTACCCTAAATATTTTTGAAAAGTTTCAGTGGGGACAAATCTCTAATAAATTCTAAAATTTTTAAAATTATATTTACTCTCCAATTTTTTTTTAAAATTCCAATGGGGCAGCTGCCACCATTGTGGATCCGCCACTAGTCGGAAACGACCAAGATTTATTTTTTAAAAATACACCTGCTAACAATTAAAAGGGTGTAAAATTTCTTTATTTTGTTTTTATATTTTTTATTATGTAACTTATGGATCATGAATGTTAATAGATATGATGAAATTTGATGAAAATACGTAAATTTTTTATTTTTTTTATATTCATATATTTATATCGTATTATATACGATAGCAAAGTTGTTTGCACCCAAGCTTCCTAGAGATCATGGTGAAGGGGCTGTGAGGTGGAGAGCGGCAGCGTTACTGTAACCTATTTACGTTTCCTCGCAAAAACAAATTATTTATGTCGAGAATAAAACATTCATGATAAATAAATTTTTTATGATTTAATTTTAAAAAATTATTAAAATTTAAATTTAAGACATATTTCTGTTACCACTTAAACTACTATTTACTTTGATAACTTCTCAAAGCCAATACTTAGTTGTTTATCTTTAAACAAACCATGGCCCCACCAGGCATGCGTTTCCTCGCAAAAATTTATAGTTGAGTGGGATTCTGGGGTGGACTTTGCACCGGAAATCCAATAAAATAAAGAGAGAACGTGCCGAAAGTTCACATTCCAATGGTTTTTTTTTGAGCTTTAGGTCGTCACCCAACTTTTTTAAAGTCAGTAGACCGTAAAATATACACAAAAATACTCTTAATTCAAGTGATTAGTATTCTATTTATTTCCTAAAAAATAATAATTTATTTCACAGAAAATCGTATTGCACCCAAATGATTCCCTCCATAAATTATTTCTTAATTCAAAATTTTAGAGCATAAATCTAGCCTCAAATATATAGAAAAAGGGTTTTACACAAAACAAAAATCATGGCTAGCTTATTCGATAATCGATCAACCGGAGTTTGTGCAAGGTCAAAAATTAGTTTGTTGAAGAACCACTCTTGAATGGCACTTGAACAAATATCTTATGTTCTGATAAGCCCAAAAGTAATTGGGCCAAGCCCAATAAAAATAAACGGCCCAAATGATCGATATTCAAAAAGGAGTCTAAATTCACCAGGCCCAAAAAGAGATCAAGAGGAGATCAAGAAGTTAACGCCCAAAAGAAGGAGCAAGGGGGCGCCGCCCAAGGGCTGACCTCCTATTCCTCCTTCATCTTTTTGACTTTTTCACTACAACTCAAGTCCACTCCACCCCAACTCAAGTTCAACCCAGTTCAAGATCCTCCTTCTGATGGAATAGGAGTACAAGAAGAGAATATCGGGATATGCACGGAAGTCTAATCCTACCATAATTATACTTACCAAAATAGTAAAAACACTATCCCTCACGTCACCATCTTACTAAACATTTATAATGTAAACTCTCTCCACATAAAAAGGACAACACATTCAGACCTCACACACATATCTCTCTACACACATTGGCTCTCTCTCTCTCTCTTCCAAGCCTTGTAATATACCTAAAGTTACTCTCCCGATTACATTATTCAATAAAGAACTCCGGTCATCGCTGTCGTTCCCGAGAGTAGAGTAGGTAATCTGGATCGAACCACTATAAATTTGTATGTTTGACCCATTATTTAATAATTCGCATTGATCACTTTACTTATTGCTCATTAACTGTAACCGTTTATATACTTGATTGTTGATTTTATGCAATACCGATTTGTGTATCATCATGTTCTTTGTCACAGTGAATAGTTCTCAACATTAAGGTTTCAAGTATGTGAGTTAAAAGTATTTGGAGTTGTTTTCTTCTCGAGGTTTTCAAATAAGAGGTGATAAAATCAATTTTCTTCGTTATAATCCACAGCAACAACACAAAAAAATAGAGTAATACTATTTGGACCTAAAAATTTGATATAATTTACTAACATAATGATGTGGCTTCAGCATAACCATTAGATTAACATCAAATTTCAATGTTTGATGGACCCCACAGTCAATCCAAAAGTCATAGTGAATTAAGTCAGCAAATTAGGTTAATAAATTAAGTCCCAATAGCATTGCTCCAAAAAATAACCTCTAATATTTGTTCATTGACATAGTTCGCCTAAATAACACAAAATATTTACGATTTCAAATTAATATGTTCAAACATTGGTATGGTTTTCACTGCATTAAGTCATGAATTGCATTTATTTTAGTTCACTGTAATATAAGCGGTATAATGTGCATTTTATTTAATGATTGTATTTTGTTTATTCCTGATTAAATGTTGTATATTAAAAATCAATATTTATAAGTGTTTTTTTGAGATTTTTTCTATTACTTTTTTCATATAATTTTACTAAGTAGTAGATCATCTAATATGTATCATGTGAAATACATTATTTATGTGTGGAATCCCTCACCTATATATGGTTATTTTCCATTGAATAAAATTAAGTGAATTTGTAATAAAAAGAATCAAAAATCAATATGTTTCAAATATTCGGAGTAAATTTTACTTGGCCTAACGGATTACTTAAGTCAAAATACAAAAAACAAAAGATTCAATGCGCAACATCGATTTCGGAAGAGAAGATAATACGCACACTAGACAACAATCCGTCTAGTGTTACATCATAGTTAACACTAAGAATATAGATAATTGTCAGATGTATTAATATTTTTTTCACACACACACTTATTACATAACGTTGGTAGTGAATAAGATGTAGTGCATAACAAATATGTTTCCCACAAATAAAGCACATAAATAAATATAAACTCATAGACTGTTATTCATAACCCCCACAACACTTCAACTCAGACGCTGCAAAAAAGCCATGCAAAGTCAGGGTTGCGATGTCGTCCCCGATGAAGGCGGTCGTGGCAGCGATGTGGTGGTTACTTGCGGTGGCGACTTGGGCTGCTGGGGTTTTTTCACGTATTTCCTGGCCCAGACATGCTTCCCATTGATAGAGTACTTTGCTCTGCCGCCGCTGCCGACAATGGTGTCGATGATGGAGGCTGAACGGGCTATAAGGCGGGCATACAGTACTTGATCATTAGGCGAGACGACTTCTTGCATGTGGATGGTCTCGACAAAATCTCCAAATGTTCTGTCAACGAATAAATATAATAAACAAGCCAGTTATATATTCCACTGTGAAGAAAAACAAAGCGAACACTGTATATATATATGTAGAATGGTAAAATATATTTTTGATACTTAAAGTATGCATTCTTTCTTAGTTTGTTTGGTCTTACTCTTCTAATCGTGTTACTCTAGACCATAGAGTTGGTAATTTGACTCTAAATGGTCCAACACATATGATATTGTTTGAATTAGTACTGGAAAATGTTGCATTATTTGTATGAATGTTTGTATCACTAAAGTATGCGTGAAATTTCATTTTGGTCTCTTAATTATCAATATTGTTAATCTGATCCTCACATAGGTTAAATTTTGAAAATATATTTAGTCAAACTTTATGTAGCATTTTTCCTATAATAATTTTATATATAAAAACTACTTATAACTTCTTTCTTCATCGTATCATACTTAACTGTCTCCTCATAAAATATTACTATAATCCTTTTTCCTCCCCAAATGATCACTCACTACAACCACTTATAGCTTTTTATCTAACCACATTCTTATAGATTTAGGTGTGTGCATGACTCATATATAGTCTTATATATTTAGGGGGTCGTTAGTGTATTTTTTGGGTGTGTGTGAGAGAGAGAGAAAGAGTACCTAGTGAAGAAGTCTCTAACTTCTGTTTCAGATGTTGGATATCCTTTGGAGAAAGTCAAGAAGATGGTCCTATCATCTGCTGGGATGTCCTCCTCTTCTCCAATAACAGTAAGGTTAACACGGCTCAGCATATCACCCAGTTCATTATTCAAAAATTGGCGCTGTGCCTTCAAATCATAAGGTTCATAAGCCTGCAAACTCCCCACACCCACCATTTGAGAAGTAACTCCGACATTTTTCTCCGAAGAAGTTGAAGAGCCATCACCATGAGCATAACCCTCTGCAATGTTTAATGTTCCTCCAAAACCCATTTGGGGAACAACTCCATAACCGGTATAAAACGGGACAGTTATAACAGAACCCATGGTGGCAGGAGTTTCGTGCATTGGACTGTTATTATTGGGATGACAATAAAGACGACCCGAAACCATCGTTCCTATCTCTCCCCTATTCCCAGAACTGCTACCCATTGTGGGGACTGAAATTGACATTGAAACTCCATGGCTGTCACTCCCAAAAGCCGCATTGGAACCAATCCAAATGTGACTGTAGTCGTACACATTCTCAAATCTCTTTCTCAGTATGTCTTCAAAAGCCCTGGAACAGACCTCATTCACAATCTTGGTGACTCCACGGAGGATTCTACTCCTGTTCTCATGCATATATTCTAGAGTAAGATTCCCTGTGTCAATAAAATTCTGAAGGTTATTAATGGCAGTCCCCTCAACAGAAAATGTATCACTCTCAATGCATTTCAAACAAGTCACTGTTTCATCCACAAGTTCATCGAGTAGATTGCTAGGCAGAGGCAATACTTTCTTCACAAAAAAGAAATCAATGCTTGATCTTTCGATCCAATACCAGAACGCCATGACTTGCATTGACTCGCCCGGGTCTCGGCCGAGTTCGAAGATCAACCGAGAGTACAGTTCACGGTCGATGGAGTGAAACAGGTTGAACTGTTCATTGGTGATTGGATAGATAAGAGTAGTTGTTGTTGTGGAAGCCATTGATTCTGTGTGTAGAAAGACGCTTGGTGGGTGTAGATTTTCCTCTGTGAAGAATGGTTGGGTTTATATGGAGGATGAATGGGTGCCATTGATGGGTTTTGAGTAGTGACTGTTGGAGATGAAGCACCATTTCGAAGAGGCGCCATTGATGAAGAATATAAGGAAAATGAGTAAGAGTTTCTGTGTTGGGGTTTCAAACACAACGGTTGAATCGAATACTAGGAGTGCCTTAATGTTGGATTATTTTGCTTTTTCATTTGTGCCCTATGTTTTACAAGCACAGCAACATAAATGCCCGTCAATATTCTCATGTGCCAGGTACATGATTTTTTTTTGTCATTTTTTTTTTGTTTTACGCCAGTAGTGTCAAGAACTGCATTAGCTGAATGTTTAAATTTTGAGGATCAAATTGACAAAATTGAAAATTTTTAAGGATCAAAGTGTAATATATGTTAAACCTGTGGGACTATTGTGCAATTTACCCTATATAATAATTTCACCATGCTTATCTTTTAAAAATTTTGTTATTTGATTCTAGCGGGTTATTGCATACCAAATCGAATACTCCTTTATTTCCTATTGTAGTTTTTCTTATTTCACATAATTTACTTTTTCCAACTCGTAAGATATTCAATTATAGATTATTATACAATGTCCCACGAAAGGAAATTCTTAACCATCTAAAGTAATAACATCAATCGTAAATTTTATTACATAGTTTTAAGTTACAAAGGACATGAATTTCGAACTAAAAGGGTTTGTAAGGCTCACATAGTGACAAAGCCGAGGTCCATTTTAAAGGACATGAATCTCGAACTAAAAGGGTTCGTAGGGCTCACATAGTGACAAGGTCAAGATCCATTTTTTCACTCTAACATGATAAGTATGCTGTGGTGGAGTTTTCACTCGGGATCTATCAGACTCTTAACACCATATAAATATTGGTCTAGACACTTCACACATTGTCTAACCAAAGTTTCTCGAGTTAGTCACCCACATAGTCAGTGGAACTCTTAACCTCAGTCTAAGTTTATATAACTACCAGGACGCTTATACACACATCGATGTGCTGAGACCATATATATATAGAGAGAGAGAGATAAGAGTGAAAATACCAATAAAGGTGATAAGTTATGGATAGTTGTGGTAATTAAGGGATCATATAGATATTTTACCATGAAGACACCAAACTGCTCTTCTCCCTCAATAAATAGTATAGATGAGTAGTAAAACTAAGGCTTCTGACGTTTTTTTGGGAAGTCATAAGCTCGAGTTTGTCATATTTTGGGAGGAGGGTTGAAGCCTAGAGTTAGAACTGTTGGGCAATGGGTTTGATAACAGGCCCAGCTAAAATATATTGGACTTCATGGTAGACTTGGCTCATTCATGGACAGTGGCAGTTTGTTGTGCGGCGTATTGGTATGAATTGAGATGTGTTTTGATATTTAAATCATGGTTCAAGTTTACAGTATCGACAATCGACTTGAGGACTTTGAGACACATTCATCACGATATCGCATCGTTATATTGGACTATATGACTTAAAAGAATATATTGAACATGATGAGCCTCACTTCGGCTCCTCAACTTTCATTCAGTATAAGAATTTAAATAGAAGTTAGCAACCGGATCCTTTAAAAATAATTGAAAATTTTAAAGGCGAAAATAATACAATTGGAAGTTGAAAGACCAAAATGAGTACTATAATTTATCTTTCCAGTTGTGGAAGTAGAATGAAAAAAAGGTAATGTTTGAAGCCTAGGGTTTGTTGGAGATGAATGTGAGAGTGATGTTATGAATATTGCGAAACAGCTCCCGAGTCATCAACCAATACATTCTTTATCCCACAACAAAATTCAATGTCAAAATGCAAGGTGTCAACTTTATCCATTAACACAAATTTAATCTGAAACAAAATTTAAAAATAACACAATTAATTAACACAAGTAATAAATGAGTTAAATTAAAGTTCGACACGAATAACATGATTAACAGGTATTGTTAGGTGTACAATTTGGACTGGCCAACTCGAATTCAACCCGAAAAAATGGGCTTAAGTTTGAATTTTTAATATTTTGGTTGGACCAGGGCAAAAAACTCCAACTCGAATTGAATTTGGTCAAGTATTGGGTTGTCGGATTCAACTCGAATATTAAAATTGAGTCAAAACCGAATATACATAAATATATAAATTTATTTAACTAGGGTTAATATTTATCTTCACTCTTTAGAGTTCAGACTTTCACTTCACTTCAAATCCTCACCTATTTGCCTCCATCACTCTTAGATCCCTCTCTCACTTGTCATTCCTCCCTCTCTCAGCCTCTCTCAATCGTCACTAGTCTAAGTCGTCTCAGACTTAGCCTCCTTCTCTCACTCGTCACTCCTCTTCCCTCACTTCCTCTCTCTTCATCTGCGCATCGCCCTTCATCTTAGATCACTTGAAAAAATTAGATCTACACTTGAAAAAATTAAATCTACATTTCAAAAAATCAATCCTAATTAAGTAACTCAAATTCAACTCGATTTGTAAACCGAAATTAGCCTGAATTAAGTAACCCGAATTCAACTCGAGCTCGCCTGAATTAAACTCCGACAGTACTCGGGTTGAGTTAGGATTAGGGTTAGGGTTATAGTTAAGGTTGAAGATTATATACCTAGAGTTAGGTTAGAAAGTTGCACCCCTAGGTATTGTAGATTGAAAATAAGTATTTAACGAATATTGTAAACATAAAATAAAATTTTTATAATATGAGTTGTTATGGAATTAAATAATTTTTTATTGATAAGAACATGACATGTATAAATTGGCACAAAAATGATATGATCGAAAGTAACACGACGCGACACAATTGGCATTCCTCAAAATCCCTTGTCTCACATATCAACATTTTGTTGGTTGGTGTTCGATCGAGATGTATGATTAGGCTAAGTCAAATTGGTTTGTGTGTAGAGAATTTAGGCCTTGTAAACAAGTTTACCATATCAGATTTCATGGTGACCTCAATATGTTGTTTTTTTTATCTTACCGTACCACGCCAAGGAGATGTACTTATTATTATTATATTAAATTTTTTTTTGACCACCGAGTATCGTCTCAACCATGTTGCCTTTGGATTCACAGTTTTAAAACATACTCCAGATTCCTGCAGACATTTGCAAAGCATGCGCATTTGGAAAACCATTATTCTCTTGCGAGAATTGAACTTAAAAGCTCAAGGTAATAGTTAAAAGCATGATGCACATTTTGGCCTCATTCTCTAATGTTTAAGCTTTTGATGAGAGTCTACCATGATATCAGAGTCATGTACTTGAGTTCTTGAGTTCAAGTCTCACTATTTACATACAGTTCCTCTCTTTCGGCTATGCATTCTGAGGAACTAGGGTCATATTCTATGTATGCATATTCGTGAGGGAATACGAATATGCCCAGAGATTGATCAAACGTGTGGACCAATCTAACAATTTAAATTTTCGGAGTAACTGATAGTCCAACAATAGTAACGCTGGGAAACTTTCTATTCATGCTATACCATGGGCAGTACATTAGTCCAGAGAATTCCACCTCGACTACCCTCTACTAGAGAATCCATGAATTCCGGGCACCTGCATTGGACCCTGACAATAGACTAATGATACTGGTTTTCATCAAGTACATACACTAATGTTTGAATAGTTGTGTGTTAAGAGTTTATTATTTGCTTTTACCCTATAACTTTGTTTTGTTTGAGTGCCTAATGTGATATGATGCAAATGATGGTTGATGGCTATCCTCCTGGTTACCTTAACGCTTATTTTATGTTGTCTTTCATGTTTGTTAACCTTCAATTTGATGTCAAATTCGTCGTTTCTATATCTCATACCACGGTTATTCACTATCCAACAATTCGTTAGTGACGATTTTGTTTTACATTTCGGAATATATATGTACTGTGATATTCATAAATTGGCCACTACTGTCCGGGCTGGGACAGTAATGTTAAGAGTTCAGATGGTATTGGTGTATGATACATGTGCTGCTGACATTGTTCTGTGCCTTCTTGTTCTTATAGATTCATGTTTCGTGTGTTTTACATCTTTCTGCATGATATATAGCTGAATTGTAGAGGACCACAAAGCCGTACAATCATTATAAATTTGTAATCTTGTACAACAACATTTACAGGGGGGCCTAACTAGTATTTCTCACAGCATTTTAAGTCCCTCTTTAGATTCTTTTTTCATTCTATTTTGCAAATTGAGTTTTGTACAAGACTATAGTACCGAAAAAAATTTCAATACCATACTTCTAAATTTTACAACTTTTGTGGGTTTTAAAATAAATATTGTGGGTTGTTTACAACAACAAAAAAAAAAGTACAATTTTTTTGGGTCAAATTACAATTTTTAAGGCTTGAATTACAACTCTTTTGAGCCAAGTTACAACTTTTAGGGTAACTTACGATGTTAGAACCTCTCCAAGTCTGATGTTAGAATTGATCTTTGGTTTGAGATTCTTTTCAATGCATTTTTTTTTTCACTTCTCTTCTTAGAGGGTCATCTACCATTGATTCAAGTTGGGCTCATTGTATAAAATAGGTCCTTTATTCATTATTTGTAGATGATCTATTAAGAACATAATTGAAGAGAAAATGTATTGAAAGAGATATAGATACAACTCGATTTTCTTGAATAATCTTTTGACTGTGGACTATCTCAGTCGTGCAAAGTGGGATGTCTCAAGTGTACCTCTAGGCACGATGGGAAGTTAAGTTTCATTAGAGTGGCAAAATACTTTCTTGCTTTTTAGTGAGTATAAATTATTGTATCAATGGGATCTATTATAACATTTTTCTAGTGAAACCAACTAATCTGATCCTTTCCATTCATGTTGTTTGTAAAATTTGATAAATAAATTAGTACACACATTATCGTCATGATCTCATCATGGTGGATCCGATAAAATTTTATGTTGATTGTCGACTACCTAACGCAACACTCCTTCTTTATCCTGATTTGAG